GAAGAGGAGGGGAGGAGAAATTTTGATATGAGAATTTAGAGACAACCGAGGATCGATTGCTCTGATACCATGCTAAAATATGAATATGAGTTTGAATATATTAGGTTCTTATTTTATTCTTCTCCATAAGGAGGTATATATAAGAGTTCACATGAGTGCTTTACAAGTAATTAGGAAAGTAAATCTATAAAATAGGAAAGTAAATCCCTTAATTAATCAAGGAAATAAATCTCCTTGATTAATTAGGAGACTCACTTCAACACTGTGGACCCGTTGGCCCTACCGGACAAGATTCTTGTGGGAAGTGCTTACTGGTAATTTATCATTAGTACTAATTAGTTTTGTTGATCATCTTCTAATTATCTTTCAGTAAACATAATTAGTGCATACATTAATTTCTGCAATTTATATTTAGTTAATCGAGGTATATTTATATATGTAAAATTGATATTATATGCAGGTGACAAACACGGGCACAGGAGCTCAAGTGACAGTAAGGATTGTGGATCAGTGCAGCAATGGAGGGTTAGATTTGGACGTGAATGTGTTTAACCAGATAGACACTGATGGAAAAGGCAATGCCCAAGGCCACCTTATTGTCAACTACAACTTTGTTGACTGTGGCGACTAAACCTTAAACCAATAAATAAGTTTCAATGTTGTAGATGAAATAAGTTCAAAGTGGGATCACTTCTTGGATTATAACAAGAAGTACTATCATTGTTGACTGTAAACTTGAAGCTTCTGGAATAAATGATCATATGCATTATTGAGAATTACCCCTCATTTTCAAGCTGTCTCTTATGTGTTTGGGTAGTGTACGTAACAGGCCTGGTCATATCTTCACCTAATTCTTGATGATCTACTTCGGTCTTCTCAATTAATTACTTCATCTGCCTGATGAGCTTGTACGTGGGCATTCTATTTTTGAAGACCGTTCATATTGAAAATGACGTCGATTGTAGCATAACGAGTTCAGCCCTTGGATTGATTTGATAGCTATAAAGTGAACCCCTTATAACTTACCACTTATAACTTTCCACTCATTATAGTCTGACCATTCTTTAAGTTCCAAAGGATTAGTTTGTTCTTAGGTCTTTGGGCTTTGGGCTTTGAGACCCATTTAACCAAAAGAATGAAAGAACAGCAAAATGGGCAGACTTCAACTGAAATAAATATATCCTCTATAATAGTCATCGAATGTTTGCATTTTCTGTACATATATCACCGAAATTTACATTGCATATATACTGAATACAACTCCGCGGAGCACCACAAATCGACAAAGATAGCACTACAAAAACGCTATAGAAAGATATAATAGCCCTATACGAAATTGTGTCAGTTGACGTTATAAAAACCCGAACTCTACCATAGCGTTTTTGACGTGCTATCGTAGACCCTTTTCCAGAGCGTTTTTCCAAAGCTGTGTTTGCATTTTCAATAGCATTCCATTAATGTTATCAGATTTTATATAGCCGGGTGGGCAAGAAAACTCTTATAGCTATAAGGAAAGATCATACAAATCATATCTCCAAGGATATAAAATGAACGCCCAAATATACTCTGACATAATTCAGGGGCAGGATCTTTGGAAAGCACCAATATATTTAGCCCAACATTATTTGATTCTTGAGTAGAATGCCTTGCTTAATTAACAAAAATATGGAATTGCAGAAATTGTGAAGCATAGGAAAAAGCTAGCAGATCGAATATTCTTCATCCTTCAGCCGTAAAATACAAAATATATGGAATGTGAACAAAACAGTGCTTTTCTTGCTCTTTTGGCAGCCAAGCAAAGAGGGCTATGTGTTAACTAGCTACCAGCGGGGCTTATGGCCCCTACTGCGGCACTGACTTGGGATGAACGGTTAGCAGCAAAAGGTGAATAATGCTTCGAGGAGTCCTGATGGCCCCTACTGCGGCACTGACCATGTTGCCAAGCATGGTTTGTGTCAGGTGTGAAGCCATTTCTAGACGGCTGGAAAACATTGTTTGCTGACTGAACTCTTCCATTAGGCCTCCAGCCCTGGCTTGATGACGACTTCGATATTTTCAAATCCCTAAGGGTTCGTATTTGATCTCCTGAACCAGAACCAGCAACTCTCCACTTTTCATGACAAAAAGGTGTCTCATGAAGAGAGGCTTTTTTGTATACTACTGCACCGTTCGCTGAATATGAGCTAGATGACATTACTCTTTCACAAGGTATTCTTCCTGGAGCATGAAATCGGTCTCCAAAATCAGGACTTGCAATTGCTTTCCCTCTACCACAACCCCATCCAGTGCCAGAAAATTTGTGTATCATATTCGGAGAGCTAGAAGTGAATCTAGCATTGTTCCGGAAGCCTCGATTTCCCACGTTATCTGGTTTGCTAAACCTTTCCTGAACAAGGTGACTGCTGCATTGCATTTAGTTCTTGAACAATGAGTTTAAAGAGAAATTCATAGATATAGATGTGAATAACAAATGGAAGACAGAGCAAGAAGCCAAAGAACCTGGAGCTGGATGTGCTTCCCTGATATTCGTGCCATAGTTTTGTCTCCATAAGATCGTCTTCAGTGATTGTCTGCAAACGTAGATGGAAAATGTTAATCTACCAAGATGAAGCTTCACACAATGAAGCTTTGTTGAAACTTGCAATGTTAGATTTCAATTTTGTTCAGTCTTTGCACAAAAAGGAGCCCTTTCATTGATATGGTTATTGAGTTTGATAAGTCCATGTTTCAAATAATGTCGAAAATAATTGCAAATTCTGAAAGTTCGGATACCTTGACAGGAAACTCTACACCAGCAAGTAAACGAGGCGCATGTGGACCATCTTTTGGAAGCTCATATCGCACACATCTGTAACATAATCAAATTCATAAAACTTATCCTTCAGGACAGCAAAACATTTACAAGATCAAAATTAACGACTTGTTAGTTTAGTTACTCACAAGACAGAGTCTTCTCGAAGTTTATGATCTCCTCCTTTAACACTGGAAGCATTCTCATGAAGACGGAAAAAACTACTAATTCCAGAACTGAAAGGGGGCAGAGAACTTATCAATAAACATTAACATTGAGAAAATACTGCAAAAGCGGTCCATGAAAGAAAAAGAAAAAGGAAAATTAACAAAGACAAGACTTCAGAAAGATAATTGACCTACCACAAACTGTTGTCAATCTTGATGGGGCAGTTTTCCTTTGTAAACAGTGCGACAATCTGTGATGCCATATTGCGTGTGCTTTGCACAAATAATTGATCAACTTTCTCTTTATTCCTGTCTCTGTCTTCCCCCTACACATATTGTAACACAAACTGGTAAGACAATTTAAATATAAGAATGGAAAAACATCTCATATCTTTAAGAAATTAAAATATATAAAAAAGTTTCATACCACCAACTCCTTCTCTAACTTTCTTGTTTGAGATAGAAGCCGTTCTTCTTCTATAAAAGGAAGTTTGCAAATGCCCTTTTGGAGATGATAAAGTCAAAAACAATTTTAGAAGGTAAAAGAGAGAACAATCACTAGATGTCAAAGAAAATGCAATACCAATGAATAACTACCAGAAATCATATGAGGAAAGAAGAGGAGACAAACCTGCCATGTCAAGCGTTTCCCATCCATATCAATTTCAAAATCTATAGATGAAACAGAGCTTGCAATTAATTTCTATCAGATCCCATGGACTAACATAACTGATATTACAAACGTGTACTTACCAGAAGGGTAAAAGTCAATAATGGTAGAACTCTCATCTGTCATAAGTGTCTGATAAACTTTCGGAAGTGCATGAGCAAACTTACAAAACAAAGAAACATAGTTACCTTCTGGGTGGTAACACAGCCATAAGAGTATCAATAGGTAAGAATGGGGAACCTTTTTCAAACTTAGGTTTCACCTGACCAAGGCCCTTTAAGTCGGAAGCAAATGGAGCATAATAGTATCGATAGGTAAGAATGGGGAACCTTTTTCAAACTTAGGTTTCACCTGACCAAGGCCCTTTAAGTCGGAAGCAAATGGAGCATAATGGAAAGGATAAAACCTGATAGGATATTACAGTGAATGTAATGTAACACTACTTTTCACACCAATATCAAGTAAATAACTGAAGTCCATATTACATATGTCTTACCATGTCCATGATGGGGGACCAGAAAAATAGTACAAGAGAACCGAGAGCAGTCCTTCAGTGTAGTATTTAACCTAAAGTAAATCAGCAATTGAAATTTGCAAATAAGGGGAAATCTAAAATTAAATAAATAAAATATCTGTTAAATACACAAGTAGAAAATGTATTACCAAAAAACCCTATTGGAATAACACAAGATCGCATCTAATTTTGTGTTGGTTTTGCAAACAATCAACCAAACAATTTATCAAAACTCAGTAAGATGGATAGTTTTGGTGCGGCCTTTGGCCCTCCATTTTACAAAGAAAAAAGTGCAGCTTCTGTAAGAAACAAAAAAGAAAAACATCATGGGGACTAAAGAAGTATAAGATAAAATTTATGAAAGGCACACGTACTACTTCCTTTCTTTTGCTTTCAATATCCCCTGGCCCTTCTGCAGAAAATTTGTATTTGTAATATCTTTCCTTGTAGCCTGCAGCAGCATATCGTACCTGTGGAGCAAAGCATGTAAAAATATTTGTTTATATGCTTGGATGTAAACGTTTCACAAGGTATTATGAGAAAGAATATTGAAACTTCAAGAAGGAATGCATCATACTTTGTCCGTCCCTAAATCACCATTCTTAAACAGATCAGATTTCCTTCTGATGCTATCTTTCAATTTCTGCTTAAACTCCTCTGTATTTTCTATTATCTGCAAAAATACAATATAAATGACACCAAAAACCCTTCAGCAGGTCACAAAGTACATAGTAAAACTACTTTATTCCATATATATGTGTGTAATCAAGCAAAATAACCTGCAGGTACTCCCTCCCCCACTCCCCAAAACAAAAAAAGAAAAGTAACAATGGAGTGTTTGATAATGGAACCTTCAATTCAAAGCACATAAGTCAGGACAAAGGAAAACTAAATTCATTTCCATGAAGAATAATGATTGATAAGATGACTCCGATGAGTTGCTAGAAGAACTTAAAGTATAAGCCTATCTTGAAATTCTTCTAGAAACTCGGAGTCATCTTATGAATCATTATTCATCATGGAATACAAAAGAAAACACACACAAAAAACAGCGTACTTGAGAATGCATATTTTCAAACGTCCCAAGTGACAGAGCTTGGGATTCTTCTCCATTAGGCAATGCACAAGTACTGCTTGAATCAGTAGTTGAACTACCAGCATCAATTTCTTCCTCTAGCTGGCAACCAATGAATTCAGCATTTGTTTCATAATGGGAAAAATAGACAAATACACGCAATATTGTCAGTGATGAATGATACTTGAGCAACAAGCACTTACAAAATCTTTATTAAGGCAAACACGCACTATGTCAAATTTCACTTACAGCAACACTAGATAGGCATCGGTAGAGAGGGAAATCGATGCTATTAGCAGATTAGGCATCAATTTCGTAAATAACAATACTAAACAGGTATAAAGACATCAGCGCGCATTTTTGTTTATTTATGACGATGGCTTTATTCCATATTTTTCAGGGTGAAGAAATGTAACTGGAACAAGGCTAATCATGTTATACCTGGAGCATATCAACCATATAACCACCGAGATTTTTGAATTCCTTCTTATACACAGTCGTCAGCAAGTCAATTGCACCCTGGAAATAAGTAGTTAACATAAATAATTAGTTTCGAGCTTCATACATTGTATTCCCATCACTACATACCAATGAAGTTTAGCATAGAACCTCATGAATTTCCAAAGATGGCATGTGGGGCAGAAAAACATTTCCAGCAAAAAAACACATAAATATAAAATCATCAATTATACGCTCAAGATCAAACTTGAAATTCGCAGGAGGATCATTGATTTGCATATCAAGCTCCAAATATTCCCTCAAAATCCAAACATGCAGAAGCTGAAATTTTGAAGGAAAAATAGAGGTGAGACAACAGAGCAATATTCAAACTACAGGTGATAGATAAGAGGACTATTTCAAATACCTGATAGGGCTTTTTTACAATGGATGCTTTTCTGTTGTCTGACTTTACAGAAGACGAAGTCATTTCTCGAACAGATTGACAGTTTGCATGTTGCTGCTCCTGGTTTAGAACATCCTGTATCCAGAAATTGAAGTACTTAAAATTTCATCAGTTATCAGAACCTACAACCCGGATTCGTATAAGGAAAAATTCTATAACCCGGATTTTCGTTCCTAGTGCATTAGCTAGGCAGACCTCACTCAATTGGGGCATTGATTATTGGAAACCTTAAAAGCCAATGTGGCCAAGAAACTTCTATATGAAATTGGGAAAATGCAAAGGACTTGTAAATTTAACCTCTCTCAATATGGAAAAATGAACTTCATGTGTCGCCAAAGCCAACATTATCAAATCTGCGTCCTGCATGCCAATAATTCACCAGAATGTCAGAATTCAATTGTGTGTGTGTGCATGCCAATAATTCACCAGAATGTCAGAATTCAATTGTGTGTGTGTGCATGCCAATAATTCACCAGAATGTCAGAATTCAATTGTGTGTGTGTGCATGCCAATAATTCACCAGAATGTCAGAATTCAATTGTGTGTGTGTGCATGCCAATAATTCACCAGAATGTCAGAATTCAATTGTGTGTGTGTGCATGCCAATAATTCACCAGAATGTCAGAATTCAATTGTGTGTGTGTGCATGCCAATAATTCACCAGAATGTCAGAATTCAATTGTGTGTGTGTGCATGCCAATAATTCACCAGAATGTCAGAATTCAATTGTGTGTGTGTGCATGCCAATAATTCACCAGAATGTCAGAATTCAATTGTGTGTGTGTGCATGCCAATAATTCACCAGAATGTCAGAATTCAATTGTGTGTGTGTGCATGCCAATAATTCACCAGAATGTCAGAATTCAATTGTGTGTGTGTGTGTGTGTGTGTGTTGGGGGGGGGGGGAGTTTATGAAATTTAATCTTTAAACAGAAACATGTTTCATTCCATATATTTCTTTTCCTTCTTTCAGATTTTCCAACTATATATTATTGCAGAAAAATTTAATATGGAAAACAAAAATTTACAAAAAATATTAAATAGTTGTGTTCAGCACATAATCATTCATACCAATCCATACATGCAATGGCGGGTGTTTGGATCATATGAAGGAAAATTACGCTGCTGGCGTATGAAAGACATTATGTTGTGTTCCCCTTCTCCAGGAACATTGGCATCAGAAAGAATCACCTAAATCCATAATCATGAAGTTAAAACAAAAAAGAGATGAGAGAAAATAAAAAATGAAGGATCATATGTTCGTCATGTTGAAATTAGAGTGGCAGAAATGGAGCAGACCTTGATGTCCCTCCAGCCTGAATCATTGCTCAAACGTAAATTAATATAGCTGCGGAGAGCATTCAACAATTTGTACATAAAATCAGTTCCAGGGGTGATTATATTTGAATCGGAGACTTCGTTTTCCTTTTTTGGTAACACTTGTTTGCCTTCCAATTCAAACTGTCTTCTCAGCTTCTCTTCTTCAGCATCCTATACAGTTGATACCAATATTTTGGGGCATAAATTTACGTATTTGTATAAACTAATTTAAGCGGGTATAAGAAAGTTTGTGTGATTCAGAAGCATAATATATTAATTAAAAGCTTAAAACCCACAGCTAATTCCTTGTCCTTGGCAGACTTGAAACGCCTGGCACGTTGTTGATTCATTTTAGCCCTTGGAGCAACTCCATCTACAAGAAATCATCAAGTTTATATCCTTATATAAACTACTTCAAGTTCATATCCTTATATAAACTACTTCAAGTTCAGAGTATCCATAACGATACGCATATCAACTAAAGTAAAGAGATGATCAAGAAAAAGCAAACATCTTACGTAAGTATTACAACATAGGAAAAAAAAAAGAAAGTAAAATTTTGTCACCTATGGCCATGTATAAAAGCTTCCTTGGTCGAACAACGTTGAAAAGTGTATCAATATATTCAAAAATATTGATGAACACCTCTTCAAATCTAGTTTGGTTGCACCTGAATAAATACAGTAGGAATTAAAATATATAACTAAGGATAAATTAAAGAAAATTTGAAAATTCTTATAGCTTGTGAAGAGAATATATAGGAATTAATAAGTTCATACTCCATCTTCGTCTGATTCCGGGTGAAAGCAGGGATGGATAATCCCATTCATGTCAAGATAAAGGTTATCAAACTCAATGCCATTTGGGATTGGTGAGCTGGTGGACTCATCTCTCTGGTCGGCAATGGCCTTGACCACCACTTTGGGATACTTGTTGCCCAGCCAACGGAAGAAAGAAGGCAATGATCACTGATGCCTAAAACTAGAAGTAGCATCAGTATTTATATGACAATCAGCACTATTGGAGGCTTTTCACATACGCAAAATAGAAAAAGCGATGACATATAACATAATTTGCAACAACATTATTTGGTTATGCGATGTTGTAATTGATAATACGCACCAGTATAGTAGATACTACTGATGTTGTAATACCTCTTTAGCCTCCTCTCTTTTGAAACTACTGATGTTGTTTCAGGTTTAGGCGTCAGAGGTCAACGTTTTTTTGGCACACGGAAATCATTTACGCATCGGATTTTACCACGCATAAAAGAAGTGGCATGGTCATGATCTTATCTACATTTTTATTTTTCAGGGTGAAGAAATGTAACTGAAACAAGGCTAATCATGTTATACCCGGAGCATATCAACCATATAACCACCGAGATTTTTGAATTCCTTCTTATAGACAGTCGTCAGCAAGTCAATTGCACCCTGGAAATAAGTAGTTATCATAAAAAATTAGTTTCGAGCTTCATACATTGTATTCCCATCACTACATACCAATGAAGTTTAGCATAGAACCTCATGAATTTCCAAAGATGGCATGTGGGGCAGAAAATCATTTCCAGCAAAAAAACACATAAATATAAAATCATCAATTATACGCTCAAGATCAAACTTGAAATTCTCAGGAGGATCATTGATTTGCATATCAAGCTCCAAATATTCCCTCAAAATCCAAACATGCAGAAGCTGAAATTTTGAAGGAAAAATAGAGGTGAGACAACAGAGCAATATTCAAACTACAGGTGATAGATAAGAGGACTATTTCAAATACCTGATAGGGCTTTTTTACAATGGATGCTTTTCTGTTGTCTGACTTTACAGAAAGACGAAGTCATTTCTCGAACAGATTGACAGTTTGCATGTTGCTGCTCCTGGTTTAGAACATCCTGTATCCAGAAATTGAAGTACTTAAAATTTCATCAGTTATCAGAACCTACAACCCGGATTCGTATAAGGAAAAATTCTATAACCCGGATTTTCGTTCCTAGTGCATTAGCTAGGCAGACCTCACTCAATTGGGGCATTGAGTATTGGAAACCTTAAAAGCCAATGTGGCCAAGAAACTTCTATATGAAATTGGAAAAATGCAAAGGACTTGTAAATTTAACCTCTCTCAATATGGAAAAATGAACTTCATGTGTCGCCAAAGCCAACATTATCAAATCTGCGTCCTGCATGCCAATAATTCACCAGAATGTCAGAATTCAATTGTGTGTGTTGGGGTGAATGTCAGAATTCACCAGAATGAAATTTAATCTTTAAACAGAAACATGTTCATTCCCATATAGTTCTTTTCCTTCTTCCAGATTTTCCAACTATATATTATTGCAGAAAAATTTAATATGGAAAACAAAATTTACAAAAAATATTAAATAGTTGTGTTCAGCACATAATCATTCATACCTATCCATACAAGCAATGGCGGGTGTTTGGACCATACGAAGGAAAATTAAGCTGCTGGCGTACATTATTTTGTGTTCCCCTTCTCCAGGAACATTGGCATCAGAAAGAATCACCTAAATCCATAATCATGAAGTTAAAACAAAAAAGAGATGAGAGAAAATAAAAAATGAAGGATCATATGTTCGTCATGTTGAAATTAGAGTGGCAGAAATGGAGCAGACCTTGATGTCCCTCCAGCCTGAATCTGTTAGTGTTTTCAAGTATTTTGGAAAAAACAGAGTGAGAAGAAGAGGAATAGAAGGAGGAAGAAAGAATTGACAAAATCTCTTTCTACTATTCGTGTAGCAGAGAACCTTCTCTTTCTTTGGATTGCAAGAATTGGTACAGTATAGCTCACACTCTTGGTGTGAGAATATTACCGTTAAACAGCGCCAGCTGGATGCATTACATCACAATGCAATCTCAGCCTTCCATTAAACTAACCAATCAACCTATGACACTTGGCTTATAAACTGAAATACAAGAAAACTAAATTTAACTAAATATGAAATCAGCTTGAGCACTTATAATTCAACACTCCCCTTTAAGTCTTGAGCTGATTTCACTCCAAGCATGCCTCTGAGATAATTGAATCGATCTTTGGCCAAGGGTTTGGTGAAGATGTCAGCCAGTTGCTCATTCGTGGGACAATATTCCAGATTAATAACTCCTTCTTGCAAAGCATCCTTGATGAAATGGTATCTCCTGTCAATATGCTTTGTCTTCTGATGGAATACAGGATTCTTAGTGATTGCTATTGCTGAGATGTTATCACAATGCAATGGAGTAGCTTCGGTTTGAAGCTCTCCAAAATCCTCTAACACAAAACGTAGCCAAATGGCCTGTGTAGTAGCCTCTGCTGCACTGATGTACTCAGCTTCTGCAGTGGACAGTGCAACACAGTTCTGTTTCACAGATACCTAAGAAAACACTCCACTCCCAAAAGTAAAAGCATACCCTGATGTACTCTTGCTATCACCAACTGATCCTCCCCAATCACTATCACAGTAGTCGATCAGAATTGATTTCCTGCCTTTCACATACTCTAAGCCATAGTCTAGAGTTCCCTTGACATATCTCAAGACACGTTTAGCTGTTCCATAATGCCTATTTGTAGGACAGTGCATGAATCTGGCTAGCAGACTTGAAGCATACATGATGTCAGGTCTGGTAGCAGTTAAGTACAGCAGACTACCAACAATGCTTCTGTAGTGTTCTTCATTTGCAGCTCCACTTCCATCTTCCTTAGCTAGTTTCTCAGTGGCAACAAGAGGTATGGTTACAGCTTTGCATTCAGTCAAGCCATATTTGTTCAACAAGGTGCTAGCATACTTCTTTTGATGTAGAAATATACTAGACTCAGTTTGAATAACTCCTATGCCAAGAAAATGATGAAGTAGACCTAAGTCAGTCATCTCATACTTAGCCATCATATCTTCTTTGAATTCAGCCAACAGTGCTTGACTGCTCCCTGTATATACAATATCGTCTACATAGATAGACACAATTGGGATCTCCTTATCTCCCCTTGCCTTGGTGTACAAAGTTGCTTCACTTAAGCTTTTCTTGAAACCTCATTGAGAGAAATAGCTATCTATCTCTCCATACCAGGCCCGAGGTGCTTGTTTCAAGCCATATAGAGCCTTATGCAGCTTATATACCTTGTCTTCTTGACCTTGAATCACAAAACCATCCGGTTGATCAATGTAGACTTCCTCTTGTAACACTCCATTAAGAAAGGCAGACTTCACATCAAGTTGATACAATTTCCAGTTCTTTTGAGCTGCAAGAGCAATAAGTGTTCTGATAGTATCCAATCTGGCTACAGGTGCATACGTTTCATTGTAATCCAGCCCAGGCTTCTGAGCATATCCTTTGGCAACTAACCTTGCTTTATTCTTTTGAACTGAACCATCCAAATTTAGCTTTGTCTTGTAAACCCATTTAACTCCAATCACTGGTTTTTCAGATGGTCTGTCCACCAACTCCCATGTTCCATTCTTTTCAATCATCTGCAATTCATCTTGCATAGCCTTAAGCCAAGATTCATCCTGTGCAGCATCTGCATAGTTTTCTGGTTCCATGATGCACAAGTTACATTGTGCCAGCACATCATCTAGTCTCCTCCACTTCAATGGAGAATGATCATAGGCTTGAGTTCTCCTTTCTTCACTACTTATTCACTTGGAGTGTGATGTGAAGTTGACAAATTTCCTTCCTGCAGATTCTGAGTTTGAGTTGTAGCCACATCATTGTCATCTGAATTTCCAGAATTGGCATCAAAGTCTACTTGATTTCCTACTGAGTATGATGGCATATCCGAACCATTGTTATCTGTCCAATTCCAAACACCTTCTTCATCAAATGTCACATCCCTTGACAATATCAGCTTGTTAGAAATTGGATCAAAGATCCTATAACCTTTTTCACAAATTGCATATCCTACAAACACCCCTTTTTTACTCTTTGGTTCCAGTTTGTGTCTCAATTCATCCGGCACATGAACATAACACAAAGAACCGAATATTTTCAGATGTGCAATTCCAGGTTTCCTTCCACTATATGCTTCAAATGGAGTGATGTTGCTGAGGGCTTTGGTAGGACACCTGTTCAGCAAGTAAACAGCTGTATGCACTGCTTCAGCCCATAGGAAATAGGGTATTCCCTTCTCATGCAACATTGATTTGGCCATTTCAATAACAGTCCTATTCTTCCTCTCTACCACTCCATTTTGCTGAGGAGTATAGGCCATTGTGAGTTGCCTTTGAATGCCTTGAGCTTCATAAAACTCCACAAATTCTGTAGACAGAAACTCTCCACCTCCGTCGCTTCTGATGCATTTCACTTTGTGTCCAGTTTGTAGTTCAGTCATAGATTTGAACTTCTTGAAACAACTGAAGGCTTTTGACTTGTTTCTCAAGAAGTATACCCAAATCATCCTTGTGAAGTCATCAATAATCAACATGAAATATCTGTTCTTTGAAACAGATTCATTTCTCATAGGGCCACACAGAGCTATATGCACTAATTCAAGTGCCTTGCTTTCTCTTTGAGCTTGTTCCTTTGGAAATACAACCATGTGTTGTTTTCCCAATTGGCACCCTCCACACACACCACTTTGTTCTTCCAATTGTGGTAAGCCATGCACCATGCCTTTTTCTCTTAATTGGTTCAGACCTTTAAAATGCAAGTGACCTAGTCTCTTATGCCACATCCATGTGCATTTAGTGAAATTGGTTTTCATGAGCAGCTGGTTGTCAGCAAGAAAGGATACTGGATAGCATCTGTTACTCTTCATTGGTACTTTGATGATTAGATAATCCATAGATGGACTATCAAACACCCTGCACATTCCTTCTCCAAACACCAAACAGTATCCATGTTGATCCATCAGCCCAACAGAGTAGGTTTTCCTTCAACCCTGGCAGATACATTACCTCTCTGATGTATTTCCTGCCCTTTTCTGTGTCAATCATCAGTGAACCAATGCCTGCTACATTTACAAGTGCACCAGTCGGCATTTGTACCTTCCCAGTCACATTAGTTCTCACATCAACCAGCAGTTTTAAATCTCCTGTCATATGATTGCTACAGCCGCTATCAACATACCATTCTCCATTGGCTTTGATTTCAGTGGTTGTGCAATTAGCATAAAACAGATTCCCTGTCACCTCCGTTTGATTTACATAATTTGCCTTCTGCACATTCTTATTCACAGTACAGTCCCTAGCAAAATGTCCAAATCTATCACAGTTATAGCATTTTGGTTTTCCCTTGTATCTGCACTCACCAAAATGATGCTTGGAACACACCTTGCATTGAGGTTTAGCATTCTCCTGGTTTGTGGAATTGACATTCTGTGCAGGATAACTGCTCTGCTGTGACTTGCCTTTTGATTCCCATGGCTTTCCTTTAGAATTCCAATTTCCCTGTGACTTGGATGAACTAGACCGAGATCCATTTTTATTCTGACCTTTGGAACTCACAGTGAATGAGGCAAATGCTTTTTCATGTGTATCAACATTATGCATTTCTTCACAGTGAATTAGGCAAATGCTTTTTCATGTGTATCAACATTATGCATTTCAAACCGTTGTTCTTGACTCTTCAATATAGCAATGATCTCCTGCAACTCAATAGTCTCCAAACTTTTTGTATTTTCAATCACTAAACAGATAGGATCATACATTTTATTAAGGCTGATTAACACCTTCTGAACCAGCCTCTCATTAGGCAGCACTTCTGCAAATATTTTTATTTGGTTTATCAAATCATTCAACCGGGTGAGATATGCAGTTAATGATTCACCTCACGCATCCTCATATATTCAAATTCTCTTCTGAGATTCTGAAGTTTTACTTACCTGACCTGATCACCACCGTGATACTCACTGTAGAGCAGACTCCACGCCACCTTGGCTGAATCGGCGTTGGTAATCCAAGGGAAGATCTGGTCAGAAACTGCATTTTGTATGATTCCCAAGGCTTTCGCATCCTTCATGAGGATTGCAGCTGCTTTCTCATCATCTTCTTCCTCTGAGGTCTCCTCAGTTGCCTTCTTCTTCTTCTTCGAATCTGAAACTGGAATTCCCTTCTCTACCAAATTCCAAAGCCCATATGATTTGAATATGGTCACCATCTTAATCTTCCAAAACTCATAATTTTCACCAGAGAAAATTGGGGTTCTTTCCTCTGAGCTTCCAGATCCAGCCATGGTTGGTCTCTGATTCCTCCAAAAACGAGTTGTTTTCAAATTTAGAAGAAAACCCAAATTTTCCCGATGATTTTTCCTTTCACAGATTGAACGCCCAGCTATTAGACAATCGAACCTGGCTCTGAGGCCATGTTAGTGTTTTCAAGTATTTTGGAAAAAACAGAGTGAGAATTGGTACAGTATAGCTCACACTCTTGGTGTGAGAATATTACCGTTAAACAGCGCCAGCTGGATGCATTACATCACAATGCAATCTCAGCATTCCATTAAACTAACCAATCAACCTATGACACTTGGTGTTTGTGCCTGATAAATCACGGCCACGAGCTGGCCGAAGGAGCCCTTTCTTTCGGCCCTGGCACTCGTTCGCAGAAGCTGAAACGCAGAGTTTCGTCAGGGCATATTCGCCTTCCTTAAAGAATAAAAGAAAAAAAAACGCTAAGGCATGATCATCTCGGCCTCAAACGTAGGCCGAGGCCGAGGCCGAACAAATTTGCGGCCAAGGCATTAAAGGCAAATCATCACGTGACAACAGGGTCCCAGGCTTCATTTAATGGAGTAGCAGCCATTGCTTTTCTTAACTTCACTACGATGCAAAAGTTTTGTTTACAATCTCTCAAGAAAATATCGTAGAGATAAACTTCATCAGTTTGAGGGATCAACAAAAGAAGCATGTAAAAGAGCAGACTACTGAAAGAAATACCAGGATTTATGAATTTGATTACAATTTATTGAATCGCACAAATCACAGAGTAAGCATTTCCCAAACACTTGGTGCACTTACCAAATGCAACTGAACACAGCAGGAAAAAAAATTTAACAAAAGAGTTCACAAATGAAGTCTCCATTTGCAACCAGCACAATAGCAGAGCTAAGGGACATGAACCAATCCCTAAAGCCAAAAGTAAGGACTTAGAGGTTCCAAAACCAACAGAGCTCCGATATAAATCACACTTCTGTCACAAAGCAGTTATAGACATGGATGGCAACACAAGCATAACACAACAGGAATTGGAATGCCTAAATGCCAACACAAATCACACAACCATTTCCAAATTCTTCGGCCTGTGCTATGAGGCGGCCGCTTGCAAGCTGGGTGAGGGTGGAACAGAGATAATTGTCAGAACAAGTAAAAATGTATTTATTGAATGGTACCCACTACATACTTATTTAATGGTACCAGTATATACTTACAGTGAAACTATTTAGGACAGCAGCGCGCCGGAGCATCGCCCAAAATCCATCACCAAAACCATCACTCGACGGCCTTGTAGTTCAGGCCGTGAACCTAACAGCCGAGACCAGTTCCTCTCTCGGCTACAATCGTTTGACCAGGAAGACAGATCAGACAGGCGCACCATTCATCCATCCAACACTCATCGAAACATCAACGCACGGTAAACCGTGCTGGCACGCCCGCGCACAACCGCACCGCACCCAAAAGCAGGAAACCCCGTGTTAACGCACCTCCCTTCGGCCCGGAACTCCAGGCCGTGAGATTTGCGCGGCAGACACTTGGCTTATAAACTGAAATACAAGAAAACTAAATTTAACTAAGGGCTAGTTTGGCATTGCTGTGCTGTGAAAATAATCGCTGTCAGATTTGCTGTGAGAGAAATCAGCTGTGAGAGAACACTGTTTGGCGTTTGGTAAACTTTTTGTTAGAAGTGTTGTTGGTATGGATTCCTGTATAATCAAAAAATAATTGCTGCATAATCATTAAATCCAGCGCCTCTTCGAAACTGATTCCTGTATAATCAGAAAATGACACTACTACAAAAAGGGCAAAAGACGACCAGTAAACAACGACGGTAGATCAAAAAACCGTCGTTGTTTTTTAAAAGACGACGGTAATAGAAACCCGTCGTAGAAACATACTTTAAACACCTAAAAAACGGCACACGTATAGATATTTTGAAACCACGACGCACCAAATTAAAAAAGCGTCGTCTTATTACAAAGGTATTTTCAGAGTTAAAATCTGAACCTAAAAACAACGACTGCATCTATGAAATCACCGC